AGTGATATCAATCGGTAGTGGGATCATACTTGATAACGCAGTATTTCCGCTGTTATTCCTTATCGACTACATATTACGTTGTTGTAATCGATTCGAGTTGACAAACTAGTTGCCGCCGAATTGGAAAGATATCACAAGACGTGACGCATTAAAGTTTGCACTTATAAAGCTTAATTTTCTGATCATGACCATTTTTGACGTATGGGTACACATTGCCCATAGCCTAAATGAAAATCTATTTCCTCCCATTCGAGGAGTTCATTCCTATCGGAGATAAAACAAACCACCTTAATTGAAACAATTCGACAAAAAATATTAAATCATTAAATGTTAAGATCATGAGAAGAGAAATTCTACTTCGCACCAATACTTGAAACCTGATTATCATCAAAAGAAAGAAAACAATGCTCTCTGTTCAACAACGAGAATTATGACCAGATCACATGCTTTTGTGCCTTTCCCGTCAATACACATCTTCCAAAAGGCGGATCATCGACAGAACGTTATTGATGGAAACAAATAATGGAACTGGTGAGTGTAATTAACAGCAGCATGAATCATTCAATAAAAACGTCAACCTTCACACAATTATTTATAAAGACAGTGGAAGATTTCGCTGATTCCCAATCACTCTCACTGTCCAAGGGCATCAATACTCCCTTCTTTGTTTTATACATCAGTTTCTTTAAAGAATGCTTAAGATTCCCCTTGAGATAAACGATGAAATGATATAGATTTTCATTTTTGGGAAATAATAGTGTCTTCGTTTGATCAGACGAAGAACAAGAAACGTGCAACTATTAAAAGAAGAATAGTATCGTGAGTTTCAACTTTTTTTTTTTTTTAAAAAAAAAGATCATTTCCTTTTTGTTTTCGACCTACCAATGGAGGACTGAAATTTAGTTTCATTTTGTTGGCAACTTCGAACCGATCAAACCATAGCCTGTTTATCCCGGCTTCGATCAGATATAACACCTGAGGGCAAACTCCGATGTTATGTGTGAGTAGGATTGAAAGCGTGCCATCTAAAAGACCGTTCGTCGGGTCCATGTCCATCCTCGAAACTGCCGATTGGGCTACCGACTTTTCACGTCGTAGATACTTTCGTGAAGGAAACAAATGCATTATTAAGATTCCTCGAGTGTCTCCTCGGATGACAAGGAATACGACCTTACCACTCTTTCGAAATCCGGAGAAAGCTTCATGCAAATTTGCAAGGAGGAGGAAACCTTGAAGCTTACCAGCTGATTGAGCGGTATCACAATCTCATCTCGCATTGAATTTAGACAAAGCGAGACCGTGTTCTGATTGAATCTGAAGAAGAAGACAATATCATTGGGTTCCCTCGACCGGATTAACGTGCTGGCTGGGAAGTGGTACCTTGATTTTGAGAATTGACATATCCGTACGTCAACCTTTAGAAATTGAGTAGTAGTGTTCTCTTCATTCGACGGAATTGGTATCGACTGGTGATTATCTCGGCCATCTTTGTACGGATGATGTCGTGATAAAATCCGAATTAAAAGAATGTTTTGATATACATGAGCGATCGCCAATTATTATTTGTGAAGGCTTAAATGACGCAAGAATTCATAACAAAAATCTTTACAAATCCGTTCTAGCTCCATGATGGGTCTGAAAGAAAAGGATGTTCGCCTGGGTGCAAAAAAAAACCCGAAGGATTTACAGAATTTATGTTATGCGTTCCATTCTGGTATGTACGTGCGAATGCGCTAATCTAAGCCTTAAATTTGGCTGAGCGAATTCTTTATACATACCTACGTGGCTACAACAAAAACAAGTTTTTACTGGTAAGATTTATTTTTTCGTGTAAATTTCGATCCACTTTTTTTTTATGATAATCTCTGAGGCGCATTATCGGACTGTACTAAATCTATTGGAATCATGTTATTAGAAAATAAATCAAGTTTTTGCCAATTTCGGCGTTCTTTTTTCTAAAATCCTATATATAAATTTTAAACCCTGATTTGTTAAAAAAAAGATTTTTTTTTTTTAATAAATTCTTTAAAAAAAAAATATGTATAATTAAAATAATAAATATTATTTCAAAATAATACAAAACAAAAATTTATTAAATATACAAAATATCAATAATATTTCAATAAAAAAAATTAACAAAATTAAATTTGATAATAAATTAGTAAAGTGTCATTAATTTAATTTTTAATAAAAATTTTTTTTTTATTTTTACAAACTGTTCTTAAAATTTATTATATTATAACAATAGACTTAAATTATATTTTTACTTTTTTAAAAGATATATACATATATTTTGCCCTCTGTCAGGTTAGTTACATATATTTTATTATATAACATAAGATGCTAAAGTTAATTCTTTAACTAACTCACTTGTCTTGATTGTTTTACCTTTCTAAGTGCAACTTCAGAAGTAATTTATCACTTCATTAGGAGTTCAGATAAACACTTTTCCAACTTCTAACATCATTGTCTATAGATCACTATTACAGATCACTCTTTCGAGTTTTAATAGAGATTAAAATCCAATTATTTCATCTTATACTTTATCACATTTCACAGAACCTATTTGAGCATCATATTTTTTAATTCTTCTTTGCTTAATAATACTTGATATGACTGATTTCCTGGTACCTTAGTATTGTTTTTTTACCTCTATAATATGTCTGTCTTTTGATTTTGTTACCTCTATTGATTTTCAACATTTATTTCCATTTTATTACCTTCTTGCATTTAACATTTCAAATTTTCTTTTTGAAGTGATTATATGTTTTCTTCTACATCTTTATTATCCACTTTCTTGCTTCTTTATCAATTTTCTTTCCATAGTACTTTAAGTTTACTATCTCATCCATTAGGTCTTTTTCAATCAGTCCTATGCAAAAACTAAGTATATCCCAATCAATATTTGAAATCCTTTTCACTAGTTGAACTATTTTCTTATCCATTTCTTCTCTTTCTATTCTATTACCAACCACCAAACTTATCTCTTTTTCTTCTAACTCTTTTTTCCTATTTGTCAAAAGTTTGTTGAAACCATGCATTATATCTTCCATACTTTTTTGTCAAGTTTCTTGTTACTAAGTTTTGTATACTGAACATTTTAACAAGTGTTTTATTGTCCCTTTTTACTATTCATATATGAGATATTTTATTTGCTTATATAAGTTTGATCTTCTTATAACTGGCTTTGTTAATGTAGGTAACTCATCACTCGATATTTTAATAAGAAAGTTTTTTCTTTATGATCCTTTGAAAGAGGTATTCCATGTATATTTATTATTCATCTATTCTCAAACTAGGTCTCATGTATGCTTTGCTGTTCTTGAATTTGATGATCTCATTTTTTATTTATTCTATTTTTGGTTTTTCATTGATGTGTCATTATTTTGACATTAGTTTTTTTAACAAATTGCCTTATTGAAGTATTCAGCATTATATTTTGCTATTTGATTTCAGGAATAATCTTAAGTAAGTCCAGATCTTGCCATTTTATTATTGGAAACTTTAACATTTCTTTGATTAGAATGTCTGCTTCCTCATTGTATTGAATATTGGAGTATGCTTTAATCTTAATAAGATTTAGATCTAATTCTTTTTTCTTTACCGGGCTTAATATTCATACCCATAAGGACTAATTTTGTTCATTTAGCCATCTTTTATAGTTTTTTTGGAATTTCCCTTTTTTATAGTTTTTTATTTGAAGATGTAGGCTTGACTGTTAGTGTGGATCTTGACCTTGCTATTAATTAGTACTACTAGTAGTATGATGACTATTGCTACTAGTTCTGCTTTTGTGAATGAAAGTCAATCAGCTACCTCTACTTGGAACTTGCTTTCTCTTCCTGTTTCTTCAATTTGTATCCATACTATATCCATCTTCATATTTTCATTTCTATGATTAACAAGGAATCTATTCGAGTAAAAGGTTATTGATTTATTGCTACTATTCCTCTTGTTACACCTGAGTATTTCAATCAAATAGGTTTAATATATACCTTTTTTAATATTCTCTTTAATGAGCTTCTCCTTCCAGTTCTCTATCTCTACTTCTTCCAGTTGCCTTCTATCACATTATGTAGTATTGAGTCTATATTAATTGTTCTACTTATTGTTTCCTCTAGAGCTACCTTAAAACAAGAGATTTCTAAAAGTTGAGTTTTCCTTGTAAATTTTCTAGTATTAAGATAAGGAATCATATATGTTTGTTCTATATTTGATTCTATTATACATTAGTTTTCAGTCTTAATCCCTTTTGGATAACACTGACATTATATTAGATTTGATTTTAAGGTTTCTTTGGAACTATCATATTTGAAATAATCTATTTTAATGTATCTTTTATTGTTTTATTTAGAATTAACTTTTTTTAAATAAGTTGTCACTACTGATTATTGCTTTTGATAACTATTCAAAGTTTTTGTCTTTTATCAAGGTTTATATTAAGTACTGGATATTTTGAACTTCACTTTAATCAATCTTCTTTCTAAGATCTTATGAACTGACCTAGTTTGTTTTCTCATATTTTCCTTGTTATTAACAAGTATCATTCTGGAATAAGTCACTTACTTGTCTTTTGTAAGAATTGGAGTATTCACCAGTTCTATACTTAGTTTCATAGTTAATAAACTAATCCATATATATCAACTTATTGTATTTGCGTGATAGAATGGCTTTACTATATTCATTTGTTGTCAGATAATCTTTTATTGAACTATTTCCAATACTTCAATTAAAGACATCATTCTATTTCAAGTTATGGAAGGTTACTTCCATATCTTTGATCAGTTTTAATACTTGTAATGTGAAGTTGCCCCTTTTTGAAAAATAGTTTGGTGAGCTATATGTGAGTAGCCCAATACTTATAGTAATTTGTGATTGCTTTAATCTAATAATTATTATAATTCCAGGTGACCTTAAGTCATTTAACCTATTGTACATCCTATTGTCTGACTTTCTTTTTACAATATCCAAACACTCTTTAAATTGTAAATCCTAGAATAATGTATTATACTATTAGGTATAGATCGATATAGTGTGGTCTTATTTTTAAATAGTTTTCTATATGCCATTGTTAAAGTATTACACATTTGCTAGGATAGTACACTATGTTGTATTCTAAATTCGATTCTAGATATTAGGACTCTGTTTAGAATATAAAGTGCTTACTTGTCAGTTAACTTTTTGTTCTTTAGGAACTTGATAACCATGTTTAAGCATTCATTCTTTGAGCTCAATAATAAATTTCTGGTTATCTGTCTAAATCCTTAGGAATCTTGTCTATTCAGCTCTATCCAATTTTCTAATCACTTCTCTATCAACTTCTACTTGAACCTCTTTTGAATATTGGTTGGGATTGTTAATAATAATTAATATTGATTTGCTATTATTAATCTGCAAGTCATTCATTCTATAAAAGTTTTTTATTTCTTTCAAAATCTTTTACATATTCTCTTTGAATCTTGCTATCCATGTTGTATTATCTATAAATGTAATAGCTATGTATCTTGACTCTAGCTTTTTTCCAGTGTTTTCTTTTAACTATGGGTCCCAAGTTACTGACATTTTGTAGTCTTTTATTTCATCATTCTAAATCTTGTACAATAAAGGGTTATAGAATATATTCCACATTAGTAATAGATAGTTTCTCCTTGATCAATCTTATCTCCTGTTGTGATTACTTCAGTTAGATCTTTCTCAAATATGATCCTAAATTCTTAATTTAGAAATAGACTCATTATGATTTAAATAAAGCCTTCTGATATCTTGATTCTATTCATTGCCTTAATTAACATATTCAGGTTAATAGTATCATATATTTTTGCTATGTTTTGAAAAAGTATCCATAATTTCTTTTTATTTTCTTTTGCTTCTTTACAAATGTTATTGAGAATTTGAATCAGTTCTGCTATACTTTCTTCTGATAATCCTGTATAATTAGGTTCTCTCAGGATATTATTAATCTTATAGATATTTTTCAATCTATTTATAAGGATTTTGGTTAAGTTTTTTATGTGATCTCTAATAACATTATTAATCTGATATTGAGGAGTTTACATCCCCATGGTTTTGGTTTTGCTATGGAGTATATATGGCTTTGCTTTCATTTTATTGGAGTAACTTCCCACCTTAAAAAGTAGTTAAGTATCTTTTTAAGATATTCTTTTTCTTTTTGATTCAGTTTTTTTAGCATGTCATAGCTGATTTGTAATTTCTCTGGGGCTATATTATTGGGAAGTTTTTGAAGTATTTTGTGTAATTCTTTTTAGGAAATTGGTTCCAGTAGATCTTTGTACCACCTTTTTTTAATATAGCCTTTAGGATAGTATTCTTCTTTTCAATCTTCTGTAAGGCTATCAAAATTGACATTTTATTTTTTAAATGTTTTGTAATAATATTTCCTT